TCGTCCCAAAATTTTACCTGAAATTAGTCTCGGAACAAATGTGGATATTGTAGTCGTATATCCTCTTCCTGCTCCTAAGTAGCTTCCTTGTCAGAATGATTTCTCTAAAGGACTTCTACTAAGGGAATTATCTTGCTCCCAAGCTCTTATACGTCATGTGCCAAGATCTGAATAGGTTCTCCTTCATTAGTTAAATCAGGATTGACTTCGATGGATCTGATAGGAAGAATATGAGATGGATAAGAGCGATATCTTCTACGCATAGAAACATGGAACACATTATGGATCTTATCCAACTCAAGTGGCAAAGCTAGCTTATATGCAACTATACTACTCCCTCAAGTACTTCTAAGGTCCAATAAATCGAGGACTAAGTTTTCCCTTTTTGCCAAATCTCATAATCTTCTTCCACGGAAAAACCTTTAAAAAAACCTTATCGCATTCTTGATGCTCAATTTCACGCCTCTTAACATCAGCATAAGACTTCTGCCAGAAACAATTTTCAAACGATCCTTGTGATTTTCACCTTATCTTCAGTCTGTTGACCAATTTCAGGACCAAGCAACTTTCTTTCTCCCACTTTACTCCAACAAAGAGGAGTTCTAGATTTCCTTCCATATAAAGCTTCATAAGGGCATGCCTATACTTGTCCGGTAGCTATTATTGTAAGCAAATTCTATCAAGGTCAAGTGTTTGTCCCAACTAGCCTCAAATTCAATAATACACGCTCGAATCATATCTTCCAAGACTTATATTACCCTCTCGGACTGGCCATCTGTTTGTGGATGAAAAGAAGTATTAAAATTCAACCTGGTACCCAAAGCTTCTTGCAAGCTAGACCAAAATCTAGATGTAAACTTTGGGTCTCTGTCAGACACAATAGAAATAGGAATTCCATGCAGGCTCACAATCTCATTAATTTGTACCTCCGCCAAAAGTTCAAGTGAGTAGTCCGTTCTGATTGCCAAGAACTGAGCACTCATAGTTAGTCTATCTAGACTACAATGACCCAAATTGTATCATGCTTCCTTAAGTCATCATCATTAGGAACACACAACCTAACACAACCTATTTTTATAGAATAGGTTGCCATCTTTTTCACAAATAAAATATGAGCTCCCCAAGGCGAAACAGTGGGACAGATAAAACCTTTCTCAAGAAGTTCTTGCAATTGAGCCTTCAACTCTTTTAATTCAATTGGAACCATTCTATATGGAGCGATAGAAATAGGAGCAGTTGCAGGAACAAGCTTTATAGGAAACTCAATCTCCCTTTTTGGAGGAGATCATGAGGAAAGTCACACACGGTTGGTATATCCTTAAAACTTGGACTCTCTAATTGTGTACCGACAATATGAGCAAGATAGGCATCGCAACCTAGGCAAATCATCTTCTTTGCCAAGACCGCAGAAATAATATTAGATGTCAATGAGCTTTCTCCCCGTACAAGTAATGTCTCCAAATTTTCAAGGCAAATACAATTGCAGCAAGTTCAAGGTCATAAGTGGGATAATTCAATTCATGTGATTTCAGTTTTCGAGAGGCATAATAAGCAATCACTTTTCCTTCTTGTAACAGAACACAACCTAAGCCACGACGAGATGCATCGCTACATATCATATACTTTTTTCCTTCAGTTGGTAGAGTAAGTACACAAGCTTGTGTCAACAAGGATTTGAGCTTCTCGAAGCTCTCTTAACACTTGTCATCCCACACAAACTTGATGTGTTTCCCAAAAAGTATGGTCAAAGCAGAGGCTACTTTGGTAAAATAAACTAACAAAAAAAAGGAAAAAAATAGAACCATTTTTAATACTTCCATAAGATTAGGAAAAGAGTTCAAGTTCTAACAAGACTTATGAAACTAGTTTAGCAAACTGTTATTATAATTTATTAGCGAAATTAGGCCCATGAACAAGGTTCAACATATGACATCTCAACATAGAAGAATCTCATAAAATCTCTTTAAAAGTGCAAGATACAACTATATAAAAAAGTAGTACCTTATTAATTTATCTCAACACTTTTGGCCTTATCAAACACTTAGGAATACTTTTTTTCATACAACACCTTTCGAGACTCATATTAAGCATAAAAGATAAAACCCAACTTCAAATCTCAACTACAAATATTAGGTCTCCAATCATTTCCCCAAGTTCAATTGAAATACCAAATTTAGTATATTACAAGACTTGGGCATAAACACCCCCAAAATAGTCAAATCATTCACCAAAACAAGAGTCTATTATACAAAAATATTTCTTGAAGCAAAAAGAATTTTCTTTCAAACAAATAACAACAACCCAGTAAAATCCCACAAAGTGGGGTCTGGGGAGGGTAGTGTGGACGCAAATCTTATTCCTACTCCAATGGGGCAGAGAGATTGTTTCCAATAGTCCCTCGGCTCAGGAAGATGAAAATAAAACAAGAAGAGACAAATGTCAAACTCGAATCTCAAGAAGGGTGAAAAATTCACAAGAAAAATAGGATCAATTATACTACATTTAATAAATCTAGAAAACATGGGGTAACACACCTCAAGACTAAGAAATTACTCCAAAATTAGAAGTCTAGTAAACATAAGTACTTTCCATCCTTAGCATTTCGAAAAACTAATCGTAGTTATAACTTAAGTCTAGAGACAAGGACTTAATCGAAGTAATCATGTAAGACATAGAATTTCATTTTTTTCTTAACCAAACATAGATTTCAAATTGACATGAATCTCGGTGACAATGACCTAAGAACTGACAACTGGTATAATAATTAGATAATGGAATGCATGCCTCGAGAAACAACTCGCATACTCTGTCTCCGCAAAAAAGAAAAAGTCAATACACCAGGCACTACACTTATAATTATTGTATTTGTTGCTATATATCAATATTAACCCTGAAACTCTTGGCAAATAGCCAGTGTCCTAAAGAAAATCCGGTAAAGGACGTGGAATATATATATACTCACATAAACACACATATAATGAGTAACAACAATGGTTAAAGAGCCTACATAGCTATGTTGCAACAAAAACAATAACATGCCCAGCATAATCGCACAAGTGGGTCTGGGGAGGGTCTTGTATAAGCAGATCTTACCCCTACCTTGTGAAGGTAGAAAGGTTGTTTCGAAGACCCTCGGCTCAAGGACAAAATAAAAGGGGACAGTAGTATTAAGCAGCAATAACAGCAATATAGTAACAACAACGATATAGTAAAATAACTGAAGCGAAAGAAATAAGTCAATAACAGGTAGAAATATAACTCAACGAAAAAAGAGAAAAGAATACAAGAATAATACTACTGCCACTGGGATGACAAAGGAATACATAACTAGGTTACTTTTCTAAATTTACTAAATACAAGTATAAAAAATGGAGTAAATAACTAAATTTATGGGTGGATAACTGTTTCCTTTTAACCTGGACTAGCTCCACAAAAACCTTTTTAATATCATCCTATATTTCAAATGTTGCATGTAATATATTAGCCACTGTCAGCAATCTCTAAGTTTCTACATTAAGCAATTAAGCATCACCTCTACATGGAAATCATCACAATTTCATTCCAGGGGGTCGAATTTAGTAGCTAAATAATGAAGGAGCGTACTATTCAAGAGATGTACTTCACGGAACAACTATTGAAACTGCATTTGAACCATCTACTAATAATTAGCTAAAAAAATTGGTACGCCAGCACTTCTTCTATGGCATATCATGACCTAACTGCACTATCATTTACACGTGCTTTTGTGCTAAATCAGGCACTCCAAACCTTATTTCATTGGTCGTATCAATAGTTTGTGGTCTTTTTCTATAACTCCACAGTGGAGCTTGCTGAGTAAAAGCAAAATTATCGTGAAACGCAATTCCGCTCTTCTTCTCACAACCAGTAGAGTATAAACAAGATGAAGTAGAATTTTGGACGTTTGGACACGGCTCGACTATTATTCAAGCCAAACATGACCTCAATTCAAGTGTCATACAAGCTACATGTGCAAGTTGATCTTGGCTAGCTAAGACATACTTGAACACAGTTAGCTCAACTCGAACTCAGTTGGCTGGCTAAGAGAAACAAGTCGAGCTCGAGCTCGTCTATGGATCTAACTCTACAAAAGCTAGTCCACAAGCATGTTAAAACAACTGAATATCCGCTGAGTGGCATATCAGCTAATGGTCATTAGTAGAAATGGCAAAATGGTTAAAAGAAAACAGTTATCCACCCATACTATCCATTAGAAAATGGGTTAGATAAAGAATTTTTTAGAAACGGGTCGAATATGGATAAGAACCATATTATCCACTTAGAAAATGGTTAACCAAATGGATAACTAATGTGTTTAACTTTTACATTTGTTCAGCCTCAAATTAGGGGTTCCTCAAGTTTGCGAAACTAGTAATTCTCCCAAAAGTGATCATATTAAAGAAGTCATAGATAATATGGATGGATAACCCATTTTTCATGATCTCAAATACGGACCGGGTCAGATAATTTATCCGTTTTCTAAATTACCCATTTTTAACCCGCTCATATCCGACCCAGCCCGCCCGTTTGCCACCCCTAGTCATAGGGATACAATTTTGAATAACCAGTTCTTGACATTACAAAAGCAAAGGTACCACACGCTACACATCAATTGCATTAGCTTATGGTTTGGCGCTGTTTTTTTTTTACATAACTGTGGTGTCCCGTACACCAAGGGATTGTGTTCAGGACAGATACCTATCTCTCAGGAAAACAGATGAAGTTGATATTGTTAGACGGTTCACTATGTTAAATGCTTCTGTTAATCATGGCAATGGTTTACTCGTCCTGTAAGAGATTCAGATGTCTCTATCACAAGTTCCATATCCTGTGAAATAGCGAAAATAGAGGAAACGGGTGGGCGGCTAGACCTTCCGATTTGGCATTTATCAAAGGCGGATTGAAAAAGAATAATCTAAATGAACGTGGAGTAAGTAAAAGAATCTAAGAGAAGAGGGAAAGATAGACAAGCGTCAGCTAACCTGGTCGAGCTTACTGAGATGTATATAGCCAGTGGTTCGGTCAAGCTTCCCCCCAAAAGTGCTGCCAGTTTTCTGCAGCAATTCCCACTCCTCCAACGGACTGATGCGGTAGACGAAATCACCTGCCCCCTCTCTCCCAGTCATTTCTTGCGTACTTGGAAGTGTGGAATGGTGCAAACCCGGATTTCACCAACTTCTTTTAGCCTAAATGGTCCCTTAATTTTGGGTTAGTATTTTTCGAGTTAATACAGTGACAGCTCGTTTGGATGGTTTCTAATTGTTATGTACCTATCATATTATATTGTATTGAATTATTTTGATGTATATAATATTAGAATATATTGTATTGTTTATATTGTTTCGTCATATTATGCATCAACAATATAAAGAATAAATTTACAATATTACAAATAAAAAATAAAGCACGAGGTAAAATTATTATATTAAAAAAAGTAGGGTAAAGCATAAAATATGATTATATATAATAAGGAAGTGAAACATGAGAGAGAAAATAAGATAACAACGTGAATACACCAAATTGGCCGTTGCATAAAGTATCACTTTTCGTCGTTATGTAACATCAGAGTTAACGGTACGATACAATAAAATTTAAGTAACAAGCAAAACAAATATTGTATTTAAAATAACAATACGATACAATACATTAAGTAACAACCATCCAAACAAGTTGTGAGTGACGATTCAAGGTATAAGAATGACACACTAAGGGGTCGTTTGTTTTGAAAATAATTTATTTCGGGGATTAATTATGTCGTGATTAAGAATATTAGGATTAGCTACGGTGTGGGCTATAACACACGAAAATATAGAAACCAGGTCGAATCTCGTTTTATGAATCTAAAAAGGCAAAAATGAGGAACGATCATGGAGGGGCAGTGACTATTGTTCCATAGGTCATTTTTTATGATCCAAAAAAAATTTAGGTGGTCCGAGTCCGGTGACCCGAGCCCACGCAGAAGGCATAGGATATATAGCACATGAAAATATATGAATCGGGTCGAATTCTCATTTTATGGCCCTAAAACACAAAAAAATGAGGAACGGTCATTAATGTTTCTTAGGTCGCTTTTGATGGTCCAAAAAAATTATACGGTATGGGTCTGAGCACCCGAGCCCATGTAGAAGGCTTGGCTATAGCACACGAAAATCTAGGAATCAAGCGTAATTTCACATTTATAGCCCTAAAACACCAAAAACGATCATGGCGGGGTAGTGACTATTGTTCCTCAGGTCTTTTTTGATGGTCCAAAAAATATTTAGGCAGTTCGGGTTCGGACGTCGGCCCCACGCGAAAGGCGTGTGCTATAGCACAAGAAAATTAGGGAATCAGGCCGAATTCTCATTTTATGGCCCTAAAATGCTAGAAACGTAGAACAGTCATGGCAGGGTGACTATTATTCCTTAGGACATTTTTTATGGTCGGAAAACTTTTCAGGCGATCCGGGTCCGGTGACCCAGGCCCACGCGAAAGGCATAGGCTATAACACACGAAAATATAAGAACTGGGCTGAATTCTCGTTTATCGCACTAAAATGCCAATAAATGGGGTACGGTCATGGCATAGCGATGACAATTGTTCCTTAGGTCATTTTTTATGGTCCAATAAAATTTAGGCGGTCTGTGTCCGGTGGTCCAGGCCCACGGGGAAGGTGTAGGTGATAGCACACAAATATTTGAGAATTAGGCGTAATTTCAAATTTATGGCCCTAAAATGCCAAAAACCAAGGAACGGTCATCGAGGGATGGTGACTAATGCTCCTTAGATAAATTTTGATGGTCTGTAAAAACTTTAGGTGGTTCAGTTTCGGGCACCCAGGCCCACGCAAAAGGCGTGGGCATAGCACACGAAAATGTGAGAATTCGGGTTATGGCCCTAAAATGGCAAAAAAAAAAAGAAACGGTTGTGGCAAGGCATGACTATTGTTCCTTAGGTTATTTTTGATTGACCGAAAAAATATTAGGCGGTCCGGGTCCGGACGCTCGGGGCCACGAGGAATGCGTGGGCTAGCACACAAAAAATATGAAAATCGGACTAAATTCTCGTTTTATGGCCCTAAACACTAAAAACGAGGAATAGTCATGGTTGGACGGTGACTACTGTTCTTTAGGTTATATTTTATGGTATGAAAAAATTAGGCGGTCCGAGTCTGGGAGCCCGAGCCTATGCAAAAGGCTGGGCTATAACACATAAAAATATGGGAATCGGGCGTAATTCTAATTTTATGGACCTAAACCACCAAAAAAGTGGAACGGTCATGGAGGGGCGGTGACTATTGTTCCTTAGGTCATTTTTTATAGTTTTAAATTTTTTTAGGCGTTCCGGATCCATGCGCCCGGGCCCACGAAAATATGGGAATCGAGCCAAATTCTCATTTTATGGTCTTAAACACCAAAACAAGAAACAATCATGGCGAGGCGATGAATATTATTCCTTAGATCATTTTTTATAGCCCGGAAAGTTTTTAGGCAGTTCGGATTCGGACACCCGGGCCCACGCGGAAGGCGTAGGTTATAGTACACGAAAATATAGGAATCAAGCCAAATTCTCGTTTATAACCCTAAAACGCCAAAATGAGTAATAGTCATGGCGGGGTGGTGACTATTGTTCCTTATGTCGTTTTTAATTGTCAGAAAATTTTAGGTTGTTTAGGTCCGGGTGCCCGGTCCCACGCTGAAGGTGTGGACTATAGCACACGAAAATTTAGGAATCGAGCGTAATACCTATTTTATGGCCCTAAAACACTAAAAACGAGGAACAATCATGGCAGAGTGGTGAATATTATTCCTTATGTAATTTTTTATGGTTCGAAAAAAGTTTAGGCGGTCCAGGTCCGGGGGCTCGGGCTCATGCGGAAAACGTCGGCTATAACACATTAAAATCAGGGAATCGGGCTTAATTCCAGTTTTATAGTCCTACAACACCAAAAATTAGGAACGGTCATGGCAGTATGGTGACTAATGTTCCTTAGGTCATTTTTGATGATCCGAAAAAAATTTAGGCGGTCCGGGACTGGGCACCTAGGATCAAGCGGAAGACGTGGCATATAACACAAGAAAAGAAATCGGGCATAATTCTAGTTCTATGGCCTTAAAACCCAAAAACAAGGAGCGGTCATGGCAAGGTAGTGACTATTGTTGCTTAGGTCATTCTTTATGGTTCGAATAAATTTTAGGCGGTCTAGGTCCGGGCACCGGGGCTCGCGAGGAAGGCTTAGGTTATAGCACATAAAAATTTGCGAATCGGAATGCCAAAAACGAGGAATGGTCATAGCCGGGCAATGACCATTATTCCTTTGGTCATTATTAATAGTTCAAAAAAAATTTAGACAGTACGGACGCCCGAGCCCGGAAGCTATGGCTATAGCACACAAAAATATGGGAATCAGGTTGAATTCTCATTTTATGGCCCTAAAATGCCAAAAAATAATAAACGATCATGGCAGTGCGGTGACTAATGTTCCTTAAGTCTTTTTGATGGTCCGGTAAAATTTTAGGTGGTTCGGTGATCCGATCCCACACGGAAGTCATGGGCTATAGCACATACAAATTTGGGAATCGGGCATAATTCCAGTTTTATGTTCCTAAAACACCAAAAAATGAGAACGGTTATGGTGGGACAGTGACTATTATTCCTTAAGTTATTTTAGATGGTCCGAAAAGAATTTAGGCAGTCCGGGACTGGGCACCCAGGTCCACGTGGAAGGCATGGATTGTAGCACACGAAAATATAGGAATCAGGCTGAATTCTCTTTTTATGGCCCTAAAACGCCAAAAAAAAGGAACGGTCATAGCGGGGCGGTGACTATTGTTCCTTAGTTTGTTTTTGATTGTCCAAAAAAAAATTGGCAGTTCAAGTCTGATCGCCCTGACCCATGCGAAAGGCGTGGGCTATAGCAAACGAAAATATGGGAATCGGGATGAATTCTTATTTTATAGCCCTAAAATGCTAAAAAAAACAAGAAACAATCATGGCGGAAAGGTGACTTATGTATTTAGGTCGTTTTTGATGGTCCACAAAAATTTTAGGCGGTCGGGGCCCACGCGTAGCACATGAAAATCTGGAAATTGGGTGTAATTTCAGTTTTATGTTCCTAAAAAGCCAAAAAACGAGAAACGATTATGGCAGGGCGGTGAATATTGTTCCATAGGTCAATGTTTTTGGTCCGAAAAAATTTTAGGCGGTCTGGGCGCTCTGGCTCACGCGGAAGGCATGGACTGTATCACACAAAAATATAGAAATCGGTCTGGATTCTCATTTTATGGCCCTAAATGCGAAAAACGAGGAACAGTCACGGTGGGATGGAAACTAACGTTACTTAGGTCGTGTTTTATAGTGCGAAAAAATTTTAGGCGGTCTGAGTCCGGACGCTCGGGCCCACGTGGGCGTGGTCTATACAACAATAACACAACAATAACATACCCAGTATTATCCCACACCGCGAGGTCTGGTGTGGTCTATAACACATGAAAATCTAGAAATATGGCGTATTTCCAATTTTATAGCCCTTAAACGCCAAAAAACGAGGAACGGTTATGGCGTGGCGGTGACTAATGTTACTTAGGTCATTTTGTATGGTCCAAAAAAAATTTAGGCGGTCTGGGTCCCGGCACCTAGTCATGCACAGAAGGCATGGGCTATTGCACATGAAAATCTGGGAGTCGGGCACAATTCCAGATTTAAGGCCCTAGAACGCCAAAAAATAAGGAACGGTCATGGCTAGTCGGCGACTATTGTTCCTTAGGTCTTTTTGATATCCCAAAAAAAATTTGTCGGTACGGGTACGAGCCCTCGAGCCCTCTCGAAAATAGCACACAAAAATATGAGAATCAGGCCGAATTATCGTTTTATGTCCTTAAAACGCCAAAAAAATGATAAACGATCATAGTGGGTGGTGACTATTGTTCCTTAGGTCGTTTTTGATGGTCCAAGAAAATTTTAGGCACTTAGGGTCGGTGGTCCGGGCCCATGCGGAAGGAGTGGGCTAAATAGCACACAAAAAATTTGGGAATCGGGCGTAATTCCATATTTATGATCCTAAAATACCCAAAAACGAGGAACGATCATGGTGGGATGGTGACTATTTTTCATTAGGTCATTTTTTATGGTCCTCAAAATTTTAGGTAGTCAGAGTCCGGGCCCACGCAGAAGGTATGGCTATAACATATGGAAAGAGTATGGCTATAACATATGGAAATT